TAATCTATGGTGTTGGAAAGCGACGCATGCGCAAATGGACTGCCGTACCCGTAGCCTCGAGACAATTTAAGATACGGTTGCCGTACCTCCAGCCACTGGCACTGCGAGTCTGCGTTTTGTAAAATGCAACGTTCTTCTGAGGTTACGGTGGCCTTCGGCTTACAGGCCAAAATTGTGTCAATGCCTATTTGATCAACTTTGTCTCTTTTCGTCTTCGATATGATCTCTTGGATTTTGAAGACTAATATTTACGAGGTTACGAGGTAAAATAGCAATTTACAGCAATATTTACCTCTGTTATAGGCGCCATATTGAATCACCAATGGTCACGCATTTCATACGTGATCTATGATTGGCTGAATTATTCGGCATCGACCAATTGCATTGGGTTATGTAAATGCGATGTTCAATGGCTCAATGCCTTGGCTCAATGGAGTTATGTAGGGACGGCGAATCTAGCGGTAAAACAAGAACGTTGAAGACGGAATCATTGTAATAGCTACAAGAACTTATAGCTACCAACGATCTCTGATGATACGTAAGTTTACCGTGTGAGTTAAATAAAATGAGTGACAGTTTTTATATATTTAAGGCTTAAATTTCATATTACAGTTGGGGAATCGTGGCAAAGGCCAAAGACAAAAACTGAAAAAGTAAAAACGTGCGTAGGCGTAGGCCCTTACCTTGGCCCATACTGGCCATGGCATAGGTCACATGATCGCCGCGTACGTGGCTAGTAGTAGTACTACTATAGCTCTAGTACTATAGCTCGCGTACAGTTGCTGCTGGGCTATAGCATCAGCCATTAGTCATTACGAGAACTTACTCCAGCCTAGCTCTAGTACTATAGCCGCTTACATTAACTGCCGCTGGCCAGCGGCAGTTAATGTAAGCGGCTATAGTACTAGAGCTAATGTAAGTATGGCTCAAGGGGTCGTTGTCGTATCAGGTACTACAGATATGTACCCCTGTTACATATATGTATACACAAAGTGTACTAGACTTGGACTACAGAAATGTACCCTAACCCTAACACTAACCCTAATCCTAACCCTAACCCTAACTCTAACCATATCAGATAGTTACCAATACCAGGGTACGTTCCGGTATATACTGGACCGTACCCAGGTTGGACATAGACCCTATGAGCACTACTACATGGTTCGCACAGTCCTTAAAAAGTCCTTGAATTTGAGGGGAGTCCTTGAAAAGTACTTGAATTTGAGGGGAGTCCTTGAAAAGTACTTGAATTTATTAAATGTTGATTTTGTGCTTGAATTTCATGCAAATGTCCTTGAATTTTTAGAAAGAATCCTTGCCTGTAATAAAAAGAACTTTTGTACCATCAATAATGTGCAAACCTCAATAAAAATTGTGTTAAATGAGCTTAAAAAGCTATAGACATGATAGACAGTTAAATGATGATCACAAATTACAGTAAGTCATTAAAATCAGTCAGTAAATCAAGGTATGTTGTAGAAGTGACAGTGTTTAGAAGGGTTTATTAATGTGATCCATGTAAGTTTTAGAGGTGACGGTGATTAAGAATGGGGTTATTATTAAATTTTTCCAGGTATGTTTTGTTCTGTGTATGAATTCCGATAAAATGTCCAATAAAATGTCCTTGAATTTCCGATAAAATGTCCTTGAAAAGTCCTTGAACAATTTTTAGTCCTGTATGAACCATGTACTAGGACGCACGCCTAAAACAGATAACAGGGCTAACCTCGTAACTCACAGTCACAGATGAGCATCTCATCTGTGGTATCACTCGGGTAGATCAGAGTGTCTGGTATCTATCTACTTGTAAGTTTGTGAATAGTAGTGCGCGTGTTTTGTGATTGTGTCGCAGAGGAGCATTTGAGCGGCATTTATGTGAAATTAGGCGATAGAGAAAGTACCTAAATCACTAAATGTCATCATTGAGTTTGGTAAGTACTAAATACAATTTGACATAAATTATGTTTATTTATCATCATTGACATTCTACGTATCACTAACATGGCCCAAGTGCCTATGACTCACACCACTGCACTGCACGCATAGTCATAGAAAGGGAGAGTGAACTTTATGCATGGTGCATATTGACACGTGAGGCTAGAAATTGCTGTGTCACAGTGCGTCAATGTTTGTGACGTTGATCAACCGGAGAAACCAGATAATACGCGAGAAACAATGAATTCTGATGTGTCATGAAAAAACGCACAGTGTCACTGTGTGCACCAAGCATGTACTTAAAAGGTAGAACAATTGCAAGATTTAGGATGTAGATGGTTGCCAGCACTTCATTTTGGCCTTTCTACTAACATGTTGATCAGTACCAGTGCTTTCGTATACATCAGCTAGGTTCCAAATAAAGCAATATTGTTTTAATACAGGCTGCAGTTTTCAGTGGTTATAAAATGTAAGGTTATGTACGAATTAGGGATCAATTAACAGACATCTGTTGCATATTTATATAACACCATTTTTCTCAATAATTTTTTTTTGCATCATTTTAGGGCGTTAAGACTTGGTTCCACTTCCTAGACAATAAATAAACATTCAAGTATCTCACTGTATTCGAGGCATAACTTGTGACTTCGGTTAGGTAATTGAATTCAATCAGGCTTTCGTCATGGAAAGTAGAGGTGAATAGTGTATACTTAGTAGAGGTAAAAAGTGTATCCTAAGCTCTTTTCGACTAGTGTGCTGAGCAGCAAATGCTATTCAGTGCAAATTAATTTATTTTGGATGCAACAAACACAGGGAACTTATTACACGAATAGGCAGGAGCTGCCGAGCTGGAGAGTGTTAGTGGAGAGAAAGGCGTTGGTGTGATGATCGTGGTTAATATAGAACACTATAGGTACTGTAGTCGAGTGTATATATACAGCTGTTACGAAAGCGAAAAGACTATTGGTATTATTTAATGGCCGATCATCCACAAATCCGCTGAGGTTATTATTTCATTGTATAACGCACTAGTTAAAACCTCGTTTAAAATCTCCTAATATGGTGTCTCAGCATGGTCTCCATACAGGAAGAAAGACACTTATGGAAGGGGTGCAAAGAAAAGATGCTAAAATTATAGTACTCCAACTTGGCGTTGAAACATTTCCTGCTTTTCTGTTTCAGACAATTATAGATTCAGCTACCTGTACTGTTGTAATGAATAATTGTAATACACGAACTTTTTTTATGCCATTACAAACAAGAACTGGTGCGATAAGCTCCATGCTCTACCAATTTATGCATAGTTTACATGTTTAACTTATGCATGAACTGAGCATAGATATGAACATTTGCCATGATTTCTGTTTGAACTTGAAGCCTGTTTCAGTCGTAGCTCTAATGTTCACCTATCAGGCCATTGGTGTATTATCAGGATTATATTTAGGCCACGTTTTATTGTTTGTTTGCACTTGTTGTAGTCTTTCGTGCTATGTTGACACTAACAGCATTTTGCCTGGCTAGACTTATACTTAATGTATGCTGACTTATCGAGGCACGGAGAGTAATGAAATGTATTCGTTAGTTGTTCATATTTTTGGTGAAGTAGCTCATTGTTCTTACAGTGGGATGTAAAGTAGAATAATAAAATATAATGGAACCCTCCTGCCTATAAGTGACTTCGCCAATACATCCTTCATATAGTCTATCGAAATCGATATTCCTCGAAGTTCCTGACTGTTGTATTGATGACATGCTATACATGTCTGGAAACTGTGGTGGGTTGCGTAATGGAAATTTTATCGGGCAACCAGTTTGTTAAACTATTGATTGGTTTTTCAAAAGTGTGAAGCAGCTGCGTGTATATTTCGCTGTGTAGGTACAGCTATGCCAAGAGTCTGCCAAGGTTTTGACACGCGACAGTGTACACATTTGCTGGGCAAGATATCTCGGGATAAGGGTCGTGCTTGCAAGAGAATGCGCGCATCTGTAATATGAAATGTGAGAAAAAGTGCTACTCACGTGTTGTTGAGGTGTATAGTAGGGGCTAAGTAGAGCAGATGGGGTCGTTGTTGTATCAGGTACTACAGATATGTACCCGAGGTAGTTTTAGGTTGTTTAGTATTTTGTTTATATTTTTATATGAGGTATGTTTAGGGTTAGGGTTAGGGTTAGGGTTAGGGTTAGTGTTAGGGTTAGGGTACACTTTTGTAGTACAAGTCTGGTACACTTTGTGTATACATATATGTACCTCGGGTACATATCTGTAGTACCTGATACGACAACGACCCCTTGAGCCTAAGTAGGCGTTGTGCACCGTTAGCAGGTTTGCATCAAATTGTTCGAATCAATTTTTTGCGCTTGCAAATCGTATTTTATATAGATTAGCAAACTGCCAATCGGTAAATCTTGTTGCCATAACTTGGAATTTTATTGTTCAGTGACCTTTAATTTTCGTAGAAATACATTTCTTACTTCTCAATGCTACAAAGTTCTAATAATTACAGGATGGTTGTTAGGTGTATGAATCATCTGCTTACAGTGCATAATTCTGGCATCTTATTCGCGAGCGAATTGTGTGGCAAAACCTGCATGTTGCAGTATCCCTGGTTTTAGTCGATTATTTTCAACTAACAAACAGAATTAACAGATGCCATTCCTGTGGCTCTAAGAGTATTTTATTTTAAAAGAAAATCTCGTGAATTACCTAACATCAGTTAGGTTCAGTTCAGTTAGTTAGCCGAAGTAACTTCAAGTGGCAAACGTTTTCTGGGCAGAATTACTGAATAGCGTGAAGTTATTAACACTATATTGTCAGCAAGTTGACTCTATTGACGCTCAACTACATTCAGTGACTGATCTTTTGATCTTGATGATGCTTGTAGTTGTAGCAGAAATGAAATTAGGAAAAAGTTCCGGTTCCGGACGACTGTTCGTGAAGGGTTCCGGCCGGAACCGGAACTTTGAAAAATTGGGGATCCGGCCGGATAGTTCTTGCTGGATCCAAGTTCCGGTGACCCCTAATTGCTAATCATTTTCACCTTTTGATAAGCAATGTGCTAATCAAGTTAAAAAATCCATGGTGTACACCGCATGTAGGCGTCGTGTCGGCGTTATGTAGGGGCAATTACCCACGGCTTTTTACCACAGCATTCATCCAGCCCGAATTTATCACCGCTCCAGCAGTTTCGCTTATTTATTGCAATCAGTGATTGGCTTGAACACAGGGCTGCCAATTTGGTACGGATCGCCATTTTCCACGGCTGTATCATCGGTCGATTGCAGTTTTATAAAAGGGAGGGTTGATGACAACATCTATTGCACGTTAGCACGTGTGGTGTATCCAAGGCCGTGTTTGCCACTACAATGAAGTGAGCACTGCAGATTTCTACAGAGCTGTAATTTGAATCAATGCCATCAAAACAGATTAGCCTTAGGCTTATGGGGTCAAGCCCCCCCCCCCGCCTCTAATAATGAGCATAGAACTGGGTTAATAGGTTGAGGGACCGATGTTTTTGATCGCGTATATAAATGGTCCTATAAACTAGACCTCTGAGCTGGGTGGATTTTCTTGTAACTTTCTTTAATGTGTTTTTTAACCCATTA